AATGAACTTGACTCTTACTCTTGACTTAACTTGAAACTTGAGACTCTTCACTTGGCTTGAACCTCTATACCCTTTTCTTGACTTGAAACTTGAGTCTTAAAAATGAAGTTAAAACGTTCAATAAAGGCTCTTGAAAAACTTTAGAACTTGCTTGACTTGCTTAACTTCTAAGCTTAACTCTTAACTTCACTTGACTTCTAACTTCACTTGACTTGGAAACTAACTCTCCTTGAATTGGATTATGAATTCAAGGTGTTTGATCACATGTTATGGATGAGTTCTTAACGTTTAGACGTACTTTGGAATGCCGGAAACAACTATGAAACATAGGTACAATACCATGGAACATGCAAGAACAAGTGGGGAATGAATGGGAAAGGTTGGCGTCCTTGGCGCTCTGAGAGGCGCGGGGCGCCAGCCCTAAAAATTCAGAGGGAAGGTTGGGGTGCACTACTAGGCGCGCCGCCCCAAGGGGGAAACTTCAGAACCCCTTTTGTGGTGCGCTGGCAGGCGCGACGCCCCAGCTTTTTCCCCAGAAAACTCGACTTTTCTCCTTCCTTTTTCCAACTCTAAACCTCAAAGGTTTCACTACCAAACACTTAGGATCATAAACCCCTCAACATACACTAGATTTCAACTCAAAAACACAACCGAAAACATGTCCCAAATCAACAAGGAACTTCAACAACACAATCAACAACATCAACAACACAACCCAACAACTTCAACAACACAACCCAACAACTTCAACAACATAACCAATCTTTTCTCAAAAATAAAACGAGTTAGGCGTGTGGAGGAAAGGATCAACCCAACACTATGAACTCACATACCTAGTAGGGATCACCCCCGACGATATCCATGACGGAAACTTGCTTGATCTCCTCTTTCTCCTTTTCTTCTTCTCTTCTTCTCTCAAAACCCTCACTCTCACTCTTTAAAAAATGGGACAAACTGATCTAAAAATTAGTCCAACACTACAATATAACCAAAGGAATTGGTTAGGGAAAAGACCAAAATGCCCTTAAATTTCCGGACGGATCCCTGCCTACTGCCCAACTTCCAAAGGGCATAACTCACTCATACGAACTCGGAATCGAGTAAACTCGGTGGAGTTGGAAAGATCATTCCAAGAAATTTACAACCATAACTAGAACTACACCTAAATCATCCTGAGCTAGAAGTTATGACTGCTCAAAGTTGGCCAAAACTCACCTTTTTCCCATACTTAGCCAAATTTCCAGATTTTTAAAAATTCTTTCCAAAAATGAAAATTTCCAATTTTTAATCCTCTTCGTAGTTATTTTAAATTGTCGGATGTTACATCGATGTTCCCTTTTCTTTCTCAAATGTGAAAACATTTATAAATCTTTGGGAGTACTTAGTTCCCTTATAGCTTTTTGAGAAATGAACTCAACTCTTTACTCTTTGCTTAACTTGAAACTTGAGCCTTAAAACGAAGTTAAAATGTTTGTTAAAGACTCTTGAAAACTTTAAGAAACTTTGCTTTGACTTGCTTCTTAACTTCTAGACTTAACTCTTAACTTCTTTGACTTTGATCTTTACTTTCCTTGAATTGGATTATGGATTCAAGGTTTATGATTTTATGTTTAGGGATGATTTCTAGATGTTTAGAAGTCATTTAGAGTAGTTAGAATCAATGGAAAGTGTTAGGACACTTTAGAATAACTACCCCAGGCTAAACAACAAAAACTGGTGAAAAACGCTAATCCGGGCGCGTACCTGGCGCGCCACCCCAGGCCCCATTTTACTGGGGCTCATTTCTGGTGCACTGCTGGCGCGCCACCCCAGCCTTCCTGGCGCTATGGGGGCGCGTCGCGCCAGCCTCCCTTCAGGAAAAATTCAGACGAACTTTTGATCGCGTTTTCTTACCCTAAATCATTCTAATCCGATTCTTTTTCCCAAATTCACTTTAGACTCATGTACCCATATCATATACACAAAAATCTAACTCAAACAACTCAGGGAAACAACACTTAATCATCAAGAAACTCCTAAATCCCAAGTACTCATATTCAAGAAGGAAATCAATACAAGAACATCAGTTTCTCAATCATTTCAGGACGAAAACACGTTGAATTAAACATTCTTGGCGCGTGGGTGAACTAACCCAACACTATGTGATCTCACATACCTTGTAGGGATCACCCCCGACGAAATCCACAAGCTAAACTCGACGATCTACTTGCTTCTCCTTCTCTTTTCTCCTCTTCTTTCCTCTTTTCTAAAACCCTAACTCCTTTCCAAAAGCGTAAGACTGACCAAGTTCAGTTTAGACCCTTAATTAATTCACTAAAACGAATTAAAATAAAAGGGTAAGGAAAAGACCAAACTACCCTTCAAAAATACGGATTTGGACTTTCCTTAATCCAACAGCCCAACTTCTAAAGGGCATAGCTCACTCATCCGAACTCGGAATCACGCAAACTTGGCGGCGTTGGAAAGATCATACCAAGAGATTTCCAACCATATCTGGAAATACACCTAAATCATCCTGAGCTAGGAGTTATGGTCGTTTAAAGTTGACCAAAAACTCATTTTAACATACTTATAATTTTCCAGATTTCCTTATACCTTTCAAAAATGACTAATTCCAGATTTTAAACTTCTTTCTAGTTGCGAGATGTTATAGTTAGACCAAGAATGAGGTAAAATTGAACTCTTTCTAATCTAGCTTAAAATGAAATAGACCTTTTATTATATGATACTTATAATTAGCAAAGTTGAATGATTTTTTTATTACAAAAATAATTATTTTAACATTTTCTACTCTTTTTTATCTAGCGTAAAAGGGACGAAAAAAACATTTATGATGAGTTAGTATTACTAACCACTCTTGTGGATGGTCAAATAAATTTCAACTTCAAATTATAGAAAATGTGAATAAGTTATCCTCCAAATTTGTTCAAACATTTGATAAATTATTAAACCTGAGTAATCTCAATTATCTAAAACTTCTGATTCCTTAGTAAAGTTCAATGATTTTTGTTACTATAAATTACAAAACCCAGTTAAGTAAATTTCAATGATATATGTATAAAAACTGAATAATTTTTATGTTGCAACTAATAATCTAGTAAAAATAAAATAAAATAAAGACTATGTTATCACGTGTGAAATCTAAAGTACTCTGTTTTTTCAAGTTTCATACGTGAATTATTAGGTATGAGAGTTTCTTGCCTAAATTGTGATCAACTATATATCAAAACGTACCTCAGATCATCTATATGTTGTTCCCTTATTCTACCTAAAATATCATCACCATTAAAATAGGAAAATTGAACAATTGTCAAAATCCATAAACATGTCTTTGGAGACGCCTTCCTCCGAATGTTTCTTCCAGTATTCAATCACTTTAATTTGGTCATTGTTTTGCTATGGACATTAGGCAAGGGAATGACGTTTGAAACACAATCTTCTTCAATCATATTCTTGAAAGCTTGTGACCTTACCGCTATCGCCTCGTCCAGTACAAATACCTTATCATCACAAGTCTTTAGAGTTAAGAACTTTGTTAAAGAAGACATGATGATAAAAATATATTTGAATAAGAGACGTTAATTTATTTTTGTTGAGAATATTATTGAAAGGAGATTTGAATGATTATAATGTCTGAGAGGTTTGAAGGGCTTAATTTATAGAGCATTAGGTTTTCACTGTTCTAGTTGAAGTAGGAAGTCAAAACGGAAAAAAAAGTTCATGGGAATATTTATGGAGACTATTGCTTAAAAAAAATAATCTTGTAATTGGAGTTAATGGGAATCTGAAAAATCCAATCTTTATCACTCAAAACATATGTAACAGATAGGAAGATGGTGATAGGTACAAGAAAGCTTTTGTTGTGTATCTTCTTGTAAAAGCTGAAGTTATTATAACTTTGGAGAATGGTGTTTGAGTAGTTGTAGACACATCTTTAAGCTATCACTAAGTTTTCTTTTTTTATACCCTAAACAAGAGGAAAATTAAGACTCTACCTAATTTTCTCAAATAATATAACTAGCTTTAATTTCTTTCCAACTAACCTTCTTATTCGTGATTTTTTAAAAAGACATGTAAAGAGAAAAGTCTAATATTTAATATGAGACGGAGGAAGTAACGTTCATCATATTATTTTACTTGTATGTTAATTATCCTCCCAACATGAACGATATAAGTGGAGAGACTATTCTAGGTCTTATGATTTAGAGAGAAAAAATGCATCATTATCCCATTCAACTATAACACATTTTTTAAAAGACACTGAAACTTTGCAAAGGTCCTAGCATCCCCTTAAATAATTTAAACGTGTTAAAAATATCCCAAATTTCGGTCAATCTCACGTATAAGAAAGAAAGTGCCTACACACACCAACTATTACCTACCACGTGCCAATTATTTTTTAATTTTATTTTCATTTATTTCTCATTCTATTTTTTTAACAAAAAATTCTCTTTACTTCTTCAATTGTTAATGTGCGTTGGACTGCTGTAAATCCAACCTTTTTCCTCCCCTTCGCCACCGTCGGCTTCACTGCTCTAACTCCATTTCAACCATTTAATTTTTCTATCATCCAATCATAGTTGTATGGGGTAACGGAGGAGGTCATGTAATCTAAATTATTTGAATTGGATATCTATTGAAATATGTCATTAAAATGTTTCCAACCTCGAATTCATAATTTAATATGTCGCAAATGTGAATTAGTCATTTCTAGTGAATATACAATATATTAAAAGAATTAAAACATTGAAAGTTGCTCAGATATATATATCTAATTTAGGACTATTTAGAGGAGATTTGAGTGAATAACATATCTAAAAGGATAATGTTTTTTTCTCAAATAACATAACAAAGCTTTAATTTCTTTCCTACATAATTTATAAATCATTCAAAACCGAGCAATATTTCTTCAAAAAGGAACAACAGAAGATAGAACTAACAAAAATAAAATAACAATAAAAATAGGATATAGCTAAGGAAATAAGGGAAATATTATAAAATCATTCAAAAGCCCAAGCATTCTCTCTACGGACCTCCTCCTCTTCCTCTGGAGTATAATCATTCATGATACCAAATACTTCACGTATTTCCTCTATTGGTTTCCCTTTGATCCTATCAGCAAATTCTTGGATTATTACCTCCTTTAACTGCTTATCATCAAAAATATTAGCAGCCAAGAGAACACAAACTAATTCTGATTGGTTCATCTTCAAGAAATCCTAATCAAAACTCTTTAACTGATCTTCCGTAACACCTTCTTCCGAATATTTCTTCCAATATTGAACAATTTTGGTCATTGTTTTGCCATCAACATTAGACAAGGGGATGACATTAGAAGTACTATCCACATCTTGTACCATGTTCTTGATGACTTCTGACCTCACAGCTACAGCCTCATTGAGTTTGAATTCCTCACCATCACTAGTCTTGAAAGTTATGAGTTTTTCTGAAGACATGACAAAGAAAATAGAAAGAGCTATGAATGAATGATTTCAATACATGAGACTAGCTTGGTCTTTTATAGTGTATTAGGTTTAAATTACTTTCCAAAGTTGTGGTAGGAATATGGAAAGCTAAACATTACATTGACCAAAATTTATTATTTTTCCTTTTTTGATGTTTAATTAATTTTGTTTTTAAATCTACCTATTATGTCTTAAATTATTATGATAATGATATAATTTAAAGTAACAAGGAAAGTTCTAAACTCATTGTTCTTTAATCATCTACTAAAATACGAATCATTTCTGATTATTAAAATCCCTTTGTTTGACTACATTTTTGATAAAAGTAATCGGGAAACTAAAACAATAGAATGACCATTTGATCATTTACTGATTATGTCTATGTCTACTCGGATCTTCTTCGGGCAATTGGGTAAGTTTAAATAAATAAAATTTGACATCGTCGCAACTATTCATTATTTTGAGTGAATAATATATCTAGAGAATAGAAATATTGAGAGTAGCTAATAATAACTAAATTTTGGATTGTTTAGTGGAGACTTGAATCAGATGTTCATTGAAATCGTTCATTAAAAGCTTTTGAATCTCAAAATTTAAAATTTGATCTACCGCAAATTTAAATTGATTATTTCTAGTGAAAATATAATATACTAAAAGAATCGAAACATTGGGATTTTTTCATATGTATAATTTAGGACTATTTAGAGGAGATTTAAGCTAGTCGGTATTGAAAAAATTCAACTCATGAGGAAGATGCGTTGTAATGTATAAATATTATGTAACTGTGTTTGTGATTATTTATACATATCTAATGTAAGCTATACATCATACATATATACAATCTTACACTATTTATATAATATTGATACATTACATATACATTCATCCATTTAATTAAATAAGAATTTGGTCAATGATACGTTTACTTGAGAAGCCGTAGTAAATATTGCCCTTTGGAATATTACTAGTTTGTTTTCATACAATTGTAACAATTGATTTGTTCTATTGTAATATTTTAAGCTCATCAACTATCACATTGCAAGATGCACTATATATTGTGCAAAATGAAAGATAATACATATATAGGTTCATCCAATAAATATTTTTTAGTTTCTTCACCCAGTGTTAACATCCGCATTAAAGTTTAATTAATTTGAATTCACGCCAAGTAGGATCTCACTCGGACTATAGCACTTTTTCTATACATTCTTCCAACAATTTTTCTTTATATCAAGTCAATTGGATATGCTTTAAACGAAAATAACTCAAAATTATTAAAAAAAATAAATGTAGATAGTTCTTTTTTATATATCAAATTCATCTTTTAACCATTTGTCAGTGTACCAAAGTCTGCATCAGTAAAAGATGCAGCATATCCGGTGGAAGGAATGTAAGTACATATGAAATTGTATTGTATGTAAAATTGTGGAATGAAACATAACATATATATCAAGATCAGTATAAGCAACTAGCATAATCATAATTGTGACAGATGAAGGTTAAGAGATGAGGTCGTTCAGACTGCCTTAGGGATACCTCTTTTATCATATTTTAGTTTATTATGAGAGGTTAATAGTGTAACCAATATAAACCATCATGTGAGCGCATGGAATTTAATCTCAACCCGATCAACTAAGATATCTCATACCTTACCGAGTATGAGACATACGCGTACATATCATATTAATTCATAACTAGTCCTTACCATGAGCATAAAAGGAGTCACATGAACCAACGATACGATCCTTAACCTATGTCGACAAAAGTAGTCAGTAGGAAAGGTTTGAACTTGACTTTGTGATAGAGATCCCTTGTGACTCTAAACCACATCTGATATACTTCTCACACATAGGAATGAACCTTAACACATGTATATGTAGGATATAACCCGACTCAAGTTAATACACTCATGACGAATGATTCAGATCTTTAGCATAGATTTACAATGTGTTGCAACTACACTAGCGCTGACAATTTTAGTCCATATTTATAAAATCAATCCATTTTATTCATATTTCGATGAGTTGGATCACTTATATTTCGGTTGGATATGTATGAATTTCAAATCTATTGTTAACCTATAAGAGTATCGACACATATGGGTAAAATACAGGTATCCATATTTGACCATGGTAAGCCAATTCAAACTTGATATATTTCTATAAAAAGGAACCAAAAATACATATTTTAATTAATTGAAGGTTAAATATATTGAGTCATTTTCTGGAAATTTGTATTATCATATCCGTTCCTAATGAAATCATATTTGTCTCTTCTTATGCTTTCAGATTAGTTTTATTTACTGTTTTTTCGCCTTTTTTTTCTTTTTCTTTTTCCATTATTTTTCTTCCAATTTTTTAATGCAAAAATAAAGAAATATAAATCGATCGGAAGAAGTCATTTAAAAAAAAATGCAACGAGGTTTATTGTACACCACCTTATTCTGTAATTTTTAATTATTTTTTTGTAAAATTGGACTACAAGAATCTATTGTATGCTACCTTACCCTGCATTTCTACAAGAAACTATTTTCTTAGCTCGAACTTATAACCCCCTAGACAAGCTTAGTCTGAAATTGAATCTTATAAATGGTGATGAATATATCTTTAGTAAGTTTATATGATATCGTTTTATTTATTTATAGAATTTCATGAAAATAATGTTATTTTTCTTTTAATTTTGTTTTAACAGATTTATTTGACGATTTAAGTGCGGAAATGTAATTATACATTTATAATATCATAATTAATAAATACACTTTAAAATATACTTTAAAGACATGAAGAAAGAAATAGATAAAGAAGAAGTAAAATAAAAAAGAAAAAGAAATGAAGAAGCTAATTAAGAACTTAGTAAAATTTTCCACGAATGAAAAAGGAGTAAAAATTTTAATTATGATCTCATCTGATGATGGTATGGCCGAGGTGGCAAAGATAGCTGATTTCGGACTTTCCATAACTTTGGAGTAGAACTGGAAAGAGAACGTGGGGTACAGAGGAACTAAAAGGTACATGGCACCTGAAGCTCTAATTAAGAAAGAATACTGCCCAGGAGTTGATATTTGGTCACTTGGATGCACTGTTTACGAGATGATCATGGGGAAACCCCTATGGGAATCATTCAATTCAAATCAGATGTTGGACCGAATTAAGTATGAGGAACCAAATATTGAGAATCCCAAACTGTCTACAGAGGCAAAAGATTTCCTGAATAATTGTCTGGTCAGGAATCCAAGTGCGCGTTGGAGTGCAGACATGCTCTTGAATCACTCGTTTCTGAAATGAGCTGACGATGTCCAGCCTCCAGATACGAAGAAGAGGCAATGTGATGGCATGTCCTTGTTACGCAAGAAACGCACAAAGACAACATTTAGGACACAACCACACATTCGTGATTTGGTTATACAACTTGATTCAGATTCCAAAGACCGAAACTCGTGCCCAAATTAAAGTTGCTAGCTAGTTTCTGATTGACTATAAAAAGTTGGTTTGTAATGTATTTAAAGTAAGAAGTAGA